TATATATATATATATACACTACTTTGTCCTCTCTAACATTCAGCTGCAATGAGTTAATTGTGGCTTTGCATGCACACAGGAATTGGAAGGAAGCTTGGCAGGCAGAGATTTGGCTAAGTTCCTCCTAATTTTGCTGTTAAAATTTCATCCCTTAAAATGTTTTCCTAACCTAGGGAAAGAAAATCCTATTCAACAGTATAGTATGGTAGCTATTACTCCAGTCATGTATTTGGCAGAGCCCACCCTTCTCTTACATCTGCGTTCTGATTGGTGCCCCTAAAAAAATGCCTATCAAGTGCTTTGCTCACTTGCAGGGTGACATCATTTTACACACAAACACACAGAAACAGCTCCCCCCTCTCTCGTCGGGCTTAGTGATTGCATATAAGCCGTGAGCTGGATTATTTATCATGTTTTAAATCCACGCTTTTGAGCACACAGTCATTTTATTTCATTGCTTTTTATTTGCCTTTTTACTATTATTTATCCAAGATAGCCTTATTGTTTCAGAACACGTGCAATTTATGGATATTTTGTAATTTTGTTCCAAGCATGCGTGAAAAAAATGTTTATATATTACAAATTCTAACCAGGGCAAATTGATAAAACATTGCTCTCAAATCACCTGTTTCTTTACACTCATGCATGCATCAAATTATTTAAATGCATCATAATGAGGTTTTAGGATTTTATTTATATTAATGCCTATAGCCTAAATCCAGCCAAAAGGTGTTATAGTTTTGGATATAGTGGGGAAGAGTTACAGTCTTGGAAGGTTTTGATTTCTGCTTGTGCTTTTATTGGGGAGATTATCCCTCGCTGTTCCTGTGCTGGCTAACAAGAAATAATGGGGGAATGGTTGACATTGAGACTGGAAGATACAGACAGCAACATTATCATTGGCAGAAGTTATTACCCTTCCTCACTCTAAAAATGTCTTATTGTGCATCGTATTGTGTTTGTCTGCATCCCCATGTGGAAGAGAAAGGAAATCTTCCCAATAGGGACACAGTCAGCAGTAACAACAACCAGAAAGAGGTTTTAACCCATCCCTGCTCGATCTACAACAAACTAAAATATTTTGGCTGGAGTTTAGCTTTATCTCTTTCCTTCAAAATTCAACATAAAATGTTTTCTAAAGGTACATAGTGCCGGCAATGATATCTGAGTGTTCTCTGTAGGGATGCATTAGTTTTCAATGCTGGGAGATAAATTCTACCAGTTTTTTGAGGCAGAGATTTTTACCCAGAGAGCGATGACCTACCCTTCGCACCATCTCTTACTCACACCATTACCAAACTCCAGCTGTGTTGAAACTACATATCAAATCATGCATCTGCCTCTGAAAGTAATGCCTGTGGCTTTCAGATTCTTGCAATGCCCTATGGAATTTGTAGTTTCACTACAGCTGGAGGGAAGAAGCTACCCCTCTTTGAAGGATACCAATGCTAAGCAAAATATGGAAGCTGCCATTGCTGAGCTGCTTCTGAAAATGTTAGTTGCCTAGCCAAGAATGACTTCAGTACTGTGAGTTACTGACCTCCTAACCTGATTCTTTTCTGCATTTTAGTTCCAGGTCAGCGGCTCAAAGCAACAGGCATATGCAGAAGGAGAGATCAGCAATGGCAGTCTCCATATAACTTCAGTACAGCTTCCTTTAGCCTTAATCCTCCCATTAGTCCTAAACTTGTTTGGTTTAGGATACAGAGGACCCTGGCACAGAAGAGGTAAGAGCAAAGATACTGCTGCTGCAGTTGTCCTGTTTCACTTTGTAGATAGTTAGCAGAGCACCACAAGGACAATTCTTTATAGTTGCACTTTAGCTTTAAGTGTACTGAATTAATCTGTAGAATATAGTCCACTGTGCTGGCCAGTATTAGAAAAAGGAAAGGTGATTTTTAAGGAGATATTTGTGATTTTAAAATATATAACAGAGATTAGCTCTCTGTAAATAATCTGATCAAGAAGTGTTATTCTTTAAAAAAAAAAAACATTTTATGTAGTGGCAGAGAAAGTGTACTGTCACGATCTCGGATCAGGCTCTGAGTTCAGTAGCTGAAGCAGCAGCCAATTCGTTGTATAGCAGGCCGGTTTTGGTACACAAGCAGACCGTAGTAGTGGAGGAG